CTAGTTATTAGATGATGGGTTGCGAGAGTGACAGAAGCTTAAACCTTAGTTTATGCGCTACTTCGTAAGGGACTGATTTGGATCCAAAAGTTTAATGCTATGGTTAGATTTTATCTTAATACTTTTCTCGTAGTTGCGGATGCTTGCGAGGGGGTTAATCATAAGTAGGAGGTTTGTTCAAGTAAGAACAGTATCTAAGCACCGGTCCACCCACATATCAAATTATCAAAGTAGCGAACATAAATCAAACCAACATGACGAAAGTGACTAGATGAAAGTCCGTGTACTCTCAAGAACACTTTGGTTATCATAAGAAACTGTTTTGGCCTGTCCTTTGCCACAAAAGGATTGGGCTACCTTGCTGCATACTATTTGCCGTTACGGTTACTTGCTCGTTACAAATTACCTTGCTATCAAACTACTTCCTACATACAATTTCAGTGCTTACAGATAATACCTTGCTGAAAACCGCTTGTCATTTCCTTCTGCTCCTCGTTGGGTTCGACACTCTTACTTATCGAAAGGACTACGATTGATCCCCTATACTTGTGGGTTATCAATCGTTAAGCACTTAAGTTGCATCGACTCGTCACTGCTTCCGCTACTCTGCACCGGCGGTGATTTTGATCGTTACCGCCATCTTCTTAGTGTTTCTCTGTGTGCTTGTGTAGCATAAACTTTTGTTGCATAGCACGTTTCCTACATGGCATGCTTAGCACATGTACACTATGGAGCACTGGAAAGGGCCTAAGACAGCTTCCTTTGTAGTGGAATGCTTTTTGTGATTTTTGGTTTGACAGTCTCCTGATATCGCATGTATACCTTTGAAATTGAATGAGCAAAATCCCCTTCTCTTGTAAAAAAAACTTGTGATGGTTGTTCACGTATATCTAATAAGATGTTCATGGTTGAAGTTTTGTAAAATAACAGAAAAGCCATGTTGTACATGAAATATTCATGTAAATAAAAACAATGTTCGTAAAAAAATGTTAATGTTATATAGTAATCTTTTCATGTTTTATAGACATATGCATGTTTCTTAGAGAAAAGCATAGACTTTCCACACACACACACACACAAAGGAAAAATAGGACTAAAAAACTTAAATAAAGTAAAGAAATCAAAAAACATAAATTAGTAATAATAAAAATAATAATAATGAAGACGATCAAGCAGTTAAACAAAGAAACTCTTCGTTCGCTGCCATGGGTTGCTCCCCTTCCGTTCTCTGCCATGGCCATCGGTTAACCCTCCTTCTCCATCTGCTCCTCCTATGAGCTCGGCTACGAAGAGCTCGGAGGTTGGACGCCATGTGGGTCTAGCGTCGGGCGTCCGTAGGCACGATCCTCCGCCATGATTCAGCGAGGCGCCCCCGATAGTTGCTTTAACCACAAAGTCATGGATCCAAGTGTTTCAAATGCGAAAACAGACATAGATGCGAACTAGGGTCATAGTCAACGTAAATGCGGGTAGGCGAATGTCGGTCACATCTACATCAATGATGCGGAGACAACATAGATGCGACTAGGGTTGGTCACAGTCAAGGTAAATGCGGGTAGGCGAATGTCGGTCGCATCTACGTCAATGATGTGGAGACAAGACACAAATGCGAACTAGGGTTGGTCAGAGTCAAGGTAAATGCGGGTATGCGAATGTTGGTCGGATCTACGTCAAGGATGTGGAGTAAGACATAGATGCGAACTAGGGTTGGTCACGATCGAGGTAAATGCGGGTAGGCGAATGTCGGTCGCATCTACGTCAATGTGCAAAGGGTTCTAGAGAGGAACAATCGAAGGAGGGTTTTTTGGTTTGGTCCGCGGGGTGTATGCGTTAGACGCGGCGAAGCGTACAAGCTCCCTCGCTTTGGGACTGGTATTCAGAGGGCCCAATTTGGTCATTTAAAGACGTTGTGATGATCCATTGAATTAGAAGGTGGCCAAAGCGTAGAGAAACCAACTGAAAAAAGTGGAGTGGAATTGGCCTACCTAGGTATGCCAAGAACAACACACTACCTCACCGGCGGCACAAGTAGAGCAAAAAGGACCAGGCCGATGCAGAAAAAGAAGCACAGGAAAGAAGGTACAGTAGGCGGCACCGGCCGTCGCGATGCACGATCGACCGGCCGGCCGGGTCCGACCTGGAACTGGAGCTTGCTTCCGTACGTGCTTATGTATGTACGGGGCTAGCCAAGTTAAGCAACGATACTACTACTAGTATGTGGACGTCGACAAGTAATTAGCCGCGTAGTAACTCGGAAGCTTAGGATCTTAATGCGTACAGTAGTAATTTATTTGCCACAATCAACTGATACTAAAATAAACTTGATCAAAATGTACTCTACCTACTACGTACTACTACGGGAGCAAAGAAACCCATGCTCAGCCTACTCCGTCCAAAGAACCTACGGCCGGGGATGGATCCCATCGGGAACCCACGGCCCGGATGTTCTCGCGGCCGGCGCACGGAC